CAACTTTTAGAACACGTTTGCTTCACGGGTTACTAAACGGTGTTTATTAAAACTCGCATTAATAATCGGCGCATAATTAAGCAGTGTTGTAATAAGAACATGTTTACTTCAAAAGATTTAAAACACCCCTTTAACATTAAAATGTCCAAAATAACTCTATACATATATAGACACATAAACATTCATGAACACAAGTACATAATATAATATGTGGAGGTACCCTAACCCCTACCCCACCCCACCCTACCCCCACAACCTTAACCCCTACCTCTTCATTACCCCTACTCTAACCACGACCTTACCCTCTGCCCCTATTCCCCTCGTAACCCCTACCTGTTAGGGTGGGGTCGGGGTCGAGGTAGGGGCATGTGGTATGGGGTAAAGGGTTAGGGTAAGGGGGGTTGGTTAGGGGTGGTAAGGGATAGGGGGTTAAGGTAGGTGGGGGGATGGGGTCGAGGTAGGGGCAGGAGGATGGTAGGGGTAAAAGGATGGGGTCGGAGTAGGGAAGAGGTACGAGGTGGGGTGGAGGTGGGGTAAGTAGGGTAGGATGGGTAGGGGTCGGGTGGGATCGAGTTAGAGGAAGGTAGTAGGGGGTAAAGTGGTAGAGGGTAAGTAAGGGGCTGGGGCGGAATGGGTTGGGGGTAGGTTGGGGGATGGGGTCAGGGTGGAGTAGTATGGACCCGGGTCGGGCCGGTTCCGATTCGGGCCTGGGCCCGGCCGAGCTTTTTTTTAGGGAAGGGAGAACCGGTCCGTTTAGGCAGCGGTTCCTGCATTTATTTATTGTTAGAAAATCATTATACTCATCAACAAAATCAACTCGGAAGCACCTCAAATTTTATAAAAATGTCATATTCCTGTCACGGCGTCCTGACCGGAACCCCCGTGCAGACAACACCATCAGAAGGTCTTCCCAGTGGAATTTTTTTATGAAATGTTTTTGAGCATGTTCCTCATCAAGTCTAGTCTATTCATACAAAATTTGAGCTCAAAATTCAATCGGGAAGATAGTTTAAAAAATCTTGAAACATACTGCGTTTTATATATGTACAAAATGTGATGTAAGAGAAGAGCCGCCACTTGAAGTGGTGGCTTTTGTACTGTAAGAGAAGAGCCGCCACTTCAAGTGGCGGCTTTTCTTAACCACGGTTAACCCAGCAGTATTTTGGGAATTATTTTTAACCCAACAGTATTTTGGGAATTATTTATTTAATTAGCATTATTTCGGGAAAAAACTCAAGTTGCACAGGATATAAAAGCAAAAAAATCTCATTTCTTCCTCCCTCTTCGCCCTCTCTCGGTTCTCTCTTTCTTCTCTCTTCTTCCTCTCCCCTTCTCTCTTTCCTCTTTACCCAATCTCTTCTAAAATTCTCAACAACAAAAAAATTATTTTCTTCATCCTCCTCTTTCCTTCTTCATCCTCTTTTTCTCTACCTTTATTTATCAATTTTTTTTCATTATTTGCACAAAATCAACTTATTCATCTTATTTCATATATTTTTATTATGTTTCTAATTTTATTCAAATTAATGTAAATTGATTACACATACAACTACATCCTTCATTTGGATGTATGTAGAAAATTGAGTTTTTTTGTTCACCAGAGAATTAAAATTGATCACACAGACAACTAAAGTTGATCACACAGACAACTATTGTCTGTGGAACGCACAATTATTATGTGTGGTAAAAGTTGTCTGTGCACACAGACATATAATTGTTTGTGCAACATGAAAATATTGTCTGTGCACAAAGGCACTGTACATATATTGATTGATTTGCAAGCTGATGTCAGTGTCAAGCGGCTGTCAATGTACTTTTTACAACAACAAAAAAATGTCTGTGGACACAGACAAAAGTTGTTTGTGTACACGGACAACTCTTGTCTGTGACCACAGACAATTCCGTACCAATTGTCTGTGCCCGACATTTTGTGTACAAGTTGCGTACAACTTGTGTGCCCCTAGCATGGTTGTTCTGATTTTAGATAAAATTGGAGCATTAAGTACTCGTATAATAAATTGACTGCATCAATTTGTGTGAAATTGAGTGGAGAGTACATTATATTAAACTCCGTATTTGCCATTTTAAGTACGGTTTTTTAGTGTTATTGAGTATAGATGTTAGATTAAACGTTAAAATGACTGATTTGGCTAACTGGATGATGAAGTAGTGGTCGATCAAGGTATTGGCGTGACCTTCACGAAGTCAACAAAAAATGTAAAGTTTATATTTCGAAGATCCTTACGGGGTGCATCGACTTGCAAAGGTGCGCCGAACAGGGAGAAGTCGACTTGTGAGGGATTGGCGTCAACCAAGGTGAAGTGCTTAAAAATGAGCGTGCATTAGCATGGTGCAAATCAATTCAAAAAGATGAATATGCTTATTTTCAACAATGATGGAGTTATAGAACCAGACTCAGAGTCAAGAGAGCTCAAGCATGACCCAACCAGCCTACCTGCTCAACCGACCTATCAGCCTTGCCTGGAGTCTGCCTATCAATCCGATCAAGATCCTACCAGCCCATTCGGGAGCCTACCTATCACTCCATTCTAGAGTCAGTCTACCAATTCACAATGGAATCGTTTATCATCTCAGGATGGAGGGAGTTCAAGTGTATGACCTGCCAGCGAAGACAACCGTAGTAATGTTAACAACCGTAATATTATGATTTATGAAGATCCGAATGATTATATCTATTAAACAAAATACTTTCATTAACACTCATATGAGAAGAGGCACCCGAATTCGAATACCAAAAGGCATCTTTATGTTCACCTTAGGGAACAACTATATTAGAAGCATACACAAGAGTAAAACAGGGAGGACGCATAATAGTAGAATGGCGTGGAGAGTAGTAGATTTGAGTCTTTTTTATACTCAATGTGAGGTGAAACAAAACCAAGCATTCCATGCACTCGGGAGAACATGTAAAAATTGGTTAGTAGTTTTCAAAACAGATATAGCTCGTATTGTGCGATGATCCAAAAGAATTACACAAAGATGTGACTGAAATACCATTATAGGCAGGGGCCGGGATTTACGGGTTGCCATGTACAGTTGGATTTGAACCTGGCGATTGTTATTGCATGTAACTGTAATTATGTTGATACTGATCAAAATTGTGTCAGGATCACGATAACTCATTCGCTCCTAGCTGATACTGATCAAAGTTGTGTCAGGATCACGATAACTCATTTGCTCCTAATTGAGAAGTTTTATACTCCCTCTGTCCCAAAATTATTGTCCCGCTTTCCTTTTCGGTCCGTCCCGAATTTATTGTACAAAAAAACGCGTTTAAAAAGAAAAATAATGTCGGTCCAATTAAAAAGGAAAAAAACTTTTACTTCCCTTATAAAACGTATATTTCCCGTATTTTACAAAAAAATACAAACATGATTTGATCAATTGAATGAATACATCAAATGAATAGGAGATAAAAAAATATTTAAAAGCAAAAAAGAAAACCTCATCCCCATAACCCCGTGTTTTTGTATTGTTACATTACAAAATATACAACCGTTAAATACTACATTAATTGCATGATGACTAAATCTAGCATCTTAAAAGACTAAAACCTAAAATACTACTCCCTCCGTCCCAAAATGATGGTTCTGTATTTCCTTTTTGGGATGTTCCAAAATAATGGTCTTGTTTCCCTTTTTGGTAAAGAACTAAAAGTGTATTACAATTTATACCCCTCTTTTATAATGAACAATAAAAGTAAAAAGATGAACAATACAATAAAGTAAGGTTCTTTAGTCTTTCTACCACACTTTCTTAATCTTTGTGCCCAAAAGAAACAAGACTCATTTTCTGACGGAGGGGTACTACGTATTAGATATGTGATGTTCTTTTCCAAACAAGCATATCAAAATTAAGGTTTTTCTAAGCTTGACATTTTTACCTGTAAACTTTTACACATAAACAATAACATGCGTAGCAGTCACACAAATTTCTCATATGTCATCCGTCATCTAGGTGAAAATGATGAGTTTAACTTGAGTGTTATATGATGATCATATAAATATGATGATGATGTTAACTTGGGTCTCATTCTATTGTTATTATGCCCTATTTTTTTTACATTACTTTGCAAAATTGTATCTTGGACTTGATTACTATTTTTACTTATGTCATCGACTTATACAATGACAAATTATGCTTTTATATAGTAATGTAATTTGCTACTTCAATATGTGTACACTCTCATTTCTTTTTATTACGTAGTATATGTTATTTTATGAAGTATATAATGTAAATGTTATTTTGGACTTTATTACTATTTCTTTTTCTGTCATGAACTTATGCTATTATGAATGCACTTTTGATGGAGTAATGAGATATTCTTTTTGAATGTGTGTGTATTTTGATAATCCTTTATGTACTATATGTTTTTAAGTTCTAAAAACTAGTACAATAATTTAAGCATTCAAAATAAGACCCGTATTTTTAACCCGGATTTTTGTAAGAGATGTCCTATTATACACGTATACGTATTTACACGTTTTTTAAAAGTCAATGTATTTTTTGCCGAATTTTGACCGTATTTTTAGTTCGAGTTACCGAATAAAACACGTACGTATTAAACCACGTTTAATTCCCGTACCGTATTTAACTAACTATGTCTTTAACTTCCTTATTTGATAAACAAAACAATGTCAAACATTGCAAAACAGTGTCAAACAGTGTTACTACAGTGTCAAATAGTGTCGCTACCGGTCAAACAGTGTCGCTACAGTGTCATTTTCTTAATCTGTGTGAAAAAACAAACGGGTCAATAATTTTGGGACGGATGGAGTACTTTAATAGAATACAAAACTTTGGTATGATAATAAAATATAATTATACATTTAATAATATCAAATAAGACCTTTTTTATAAAACATAATTATTCTTATTTTCTTATTTTTATAGTTTGTGTGTTATTGAAGCAATTATTTCTTATTTTCAAAATATCTCAAATTGCGACTGGCAAAAAGCCGTTAGTCACGCCGCGGGATGCGTTTCCGTGTTGTCTCTCCAGCTTCGCCGCCAAGTCCAACTTACACTAAAAGCTTCGGACAACTGAGTCACCTCAGTTCAACCACTCAATTCCGCACCATCTCTTTCATCTTCTCCACTTCATCCATCCCTAATAAATCTCGGCTACCTAAAAGCTCATAACCTTTTTGTATCCAACTTCAACGATTGTGTTATTGTGCTTCCCCGCCTAATTCATAAGATGTCAGTGATTTATGGTGGCGGTGGAGGGGGTTCCAATCAGAAGATCGACTACGTGTTCAAGGTTGTCCTGATCGGAGATTCAGCCGTCGGGAAGTCGCAGCTTTTGGCCCGCTTCGCCAAGAACAACTTCAGCATTGACTCCAAGGCCACCATCGGAGTTGAATTCCAGACTCGGACCGTAGTCATCGATCACAAGAGCGTCAAGGCTCAGATTTGGGACACAGCCGGACAAGAAAGGTTTGTACAAAAACACTTAAACTCGATTTGATTTTGTTTGTTTGACCTTGTTGAATCTATTGATTAGATGCATTTACATGGTATTTGATCTAAAGCTGGTTGTTCGATTATTTTCATTGAGTTGCATTGACTTGATTAGATTATTTGATTAATTGTCTAATTTCACGAGATTAATTATGTGCTATATACAAGCGTTTCAGCTTTTTCACAGATCTTTATCACTTGGTATCGAACTGGATGGTCGTGCATATATAGTGCAAGTAGATTTCTTTTTACTAGAAAAGCCTGCATTCTATCAAACTGGATGTACTTAAGGATCTTCTGTTTATTATTAATATCTGATATCTGATATGTTATGCCTTTACATACTATGTACAGATTTAATATAATTAGGGGCTGGAAATATTAAGGGCACATTGGCTCTACAACTACCTTGCAATGCACAAGCACTGTGTGATTATCCTAGCCTCCTTGTAGCCTTCCACAGTTGACCAAATGGGTATATGTTTGGTCAACTCTCTTAACATCCTACAATCTCTTAGGTGATGATAGGAAAATAGTTGGGGAAAGACTAAAGAGGATGTTTTGCCAAGTAGAGTAGTTTATTAATGTTTGGTCTCAATGTGGAAAATAAAAGGGAAAATGAAGTTTGATTATAAATATATACAAATATTGAGTTTGAACAAACATCTAAAATTAATTTATTGAGTCTGAACTGATATTTTTCTTTTCTTTCAGATTTCTTCTCTGTTTTCCTTCTTATTTTCTCTCCCATCCTTTTCCGGGTTAGAAAAGGACCCTTGAGAAACTGTATCTTTAGTTGATTTGATTTCTCAGGTACCGAGCAGTGACAAGTGCATACTACAGGGGTGCACTGGGAGCGATGCTGGTTTATGATATCACCAAACATCAAACATTTGAGCATGTGGCAAGGTGGTTAGAGGAACTGCGGGGCCATGCTGATAAGAACCTTGTGATCATACTTGTGGGTAACAAGACTGACCTTGAGAGTGATAGAGGTGTACCTACAGAGGTTGCCAAGGAGTTCTCCGAGAAGCAGAACCTGTTCTTTGTTGAAACATCTGCACGAGACTCGACTAATGTTGAGACAGCTTTCCTTAATCTTCTTACTGAGATTTATCGTGTTGCCAGCAAAAAATCTCTTGTTGCCAATGAAGAAGCCGAAGAGTCATCTGGAAGATCATTACTTCTCAAGGGAACTCAGATTGCTGTTTCTGGACATGATGAACAACCTGTATCCTCTGGGAGTGCATCTGGATGCTGCAGATCTTCATGAGTTACATCTACTAAACTGCACTGTTCAGCCAATCCATATGTAGATGTTTTTGTAATGAAGTTGAGTTCTATTGATGGCATACACACATTCACGTGAATTTGGTAAAGTTTGAGATGCAATTGTATTGATAGATGTAACACATTATACCGGCTGTTCGTGACATTGTAATTTGCTACAATAGTACAATGTGACTTCAAGAGGAATTTTTTATTACAATAAAAGTATCACTTGCACACAAATATTAGAACTCAATTAGCACTTAATTCAATAAATACGAACTTCCTCTGTTTCGTTTATTTATAACTCATTGGAGATTGTGGATCATCGATGGATATTTAAATGGGTGAGATTGAAAGTGATCATTTGAAGAGAGTTCGTAACCTAATGGAAGTTGTAACATGTGTATTTGGCATGTAAGGTACACTTTAAGCCATCTTTCAGCCTATTTTTGCATTTATATTCTAAAATTATTTTCAATTGACATTTCTGGTTGCTTTTGTTATATTGTTCAGTGTCATGTCAGAGCGGTTTCTATGTGTTTGTTATCATTCTTGTGTAGCTTCGCCTCCAGGTTAAAAAAACTGTGTTCATATCTCATCTTAAATATTTTGAAGGATGATTCCAATACTCCAAAATTTGATAACTATCCAGACATGGAACATTAATTTTCTTTTGTTCTTTCAATCAATAGATCTTCTACAATATCATAGCTATTTATTACGTAGTACTTGGTTATTCCTTGTGTCACTGGTCTATGTCTTTTCTCAGCGGCATCACCACCTTAAACATATACGTTGAGTTTCTATTTCCATGTAAACATATTGATGGCCGCCAGGGACCAGGATAGGAAGAGTTAACTGATACAAGAGTGTGGCTCATGGATCAGCTAACAAAAGACACAAAAGCTTTTCAGTCTATGAATAATAAGTTGAGGAAGTGCATCACATTTTGACTAGCTTGGTCACCAACTGGCAAGCAAAAACTTAATATAAGATCCTCATTGTTTTAAGACACAATTTGAGCCATATATGCCCTAAATCTGAATCATTAATTCATTATATATGTTGGAATCCAGATTCCCAGATTCAAGTATATCATCATTGATGTCAGAAAACTACCAAAATGGAACTAAAAGAACTTCTGTAGATTTTGATTTTCTGTATAGGTCAATAACTTTGCATCCTATATTCCAATGGCTGCAACAAGTATTAAACAGAGATAAAGTTTGATTTGGAATCCATAAAGTGGAGAGTAAATGTCAAGGTAAACTGAACATGAGGAGTAAGGGACTCATAGCATAACCACTACTCTCACTTTATTGAAAGTTAAAATTAAAAAACTAGATCTAAAATACCCAATAATAATCAGTGCGACAAATATATCATCTCGCTCTGGTCTAGTAATTAGAAGATATCTGCTCTCCGTCTCCATATGCATTGCTTGTGTCATCTTTCTATCGATTGTTCTCCACATTATTTCCCCATTTCACCTGCACAAGTTGAAACAGTCATACATCAGATTAGTCCTTCAACCTTAGCTAAATTTGATCATTTTCAATTAATAAAAAAATGTCTGGATAAATGGTGGGAAGAATCAAATGTGGCTAGGAATACATATAGTTCACCTAATATATGTTTTATCATGGGCTAGCTAGCATTATGAGATACACTTAGAGGGAATCAAGAATATTTTAGTGCATCATAAATACTCTTATGCTGAAGAAAGTAAGTAGACAAACAGAAACCAACTAACAAACTGATCGAAGCAGAACCATGTGAGGGGTAGGTAGATAGTTAGATTACTTAGATACATACAGGGTTCGAAGTTGGCCGTGCATCTGTCAGGGAGCTGGAGAGCCATGTTACGATCAACGCCAATGATGGGAGGGCCATTGAGAATGACGCACAAGCACGGCTGCCCGAGTGACCTCACAGCGGCACAGCATGCCTCGCTTGGCGGGTAGGGCCTAAAAGGGGAGACTGCAGGCCTGCAGGGGAGCAGCTGGATGATTGCTGACACAAATGTGGAACCGCAAGGCGGGGATCCTTCGCTCTTTTGCACCAGGCTACCGCCCATTATCATCACCGCCAATGCCGCCACCCAAACACCGTAATATCTCTTCATCATTCGATCAATTATTTATATAAAAATTTCAGTGTACGTATGTACTCACATGTGTTGAAATGTATAGAGCTAGGAGAAAGAATCACAAGTGTATATATAGCAGAGAACATGCATGCATGTTTAGTGTTGCTGTCCTAACTCCAACTCATGCTGGGCTTGCTTGCCTCACTTTCCATATATGTTTCCATGACACCCATCCAGTTGAAGACATAAACTTGGGGGTCATATATAAGTATAAGACAAAGATCAAAGTACATATTCATTTCCCACAATCCTTACTTTGTACTTCCTTCTCCCATAATAATGTGTACATATATGAGTTAGTTGTACTCAATATTACCTTATAAGTTAGTTAGTTATACTTTATAATGTGTGTTTACATATATTTATAAATTATAGAATGGTATGTTCAAATATGAAGATTTGGCTCCGACAGTAAATTCTTAAAGCTCCTTTCCACCTAATGCACTTTTTCTGGTTCAACCATTATATGTAGGAAACTAGGAATGTTGTTTATAATTAGAAGATGGGATTAGTGTTATTCATCCCTTGTTTATCATAGCTGTGAGATAATATGGACTCTAATTCTACAAATCAATTACTTGCACTTCCAGTCTTCTATATAAATATCCATCCCTCTTCCTATTCCCTCTTACAAACTTGTCAAATTTATAAGTTGTGTTTATCAAGGATATTTCATCATATATTTGTCCTTACAAATTACAATCCCACATTCAGGCACTTGTTTTGATAAGGGGCTGAGAGACTGATATAACCCACACCTGTTGGTTTCGGAAGAAGCTTGCATATTAGAATGGTGGCACGATCCAAATCCCCTATAGCAAAAGTGTAAATCATGACATTATACAGCTGAAGAATGAATTGGGTGGAATTTAGCTTTAAAAGTTTGTGGTTATTTATACGGAGTATATTTTATCAACTGTTTTCCCCTCAAATTTAATGACAATTTGTTAACGGTGTGGTTAAACCTAATTAAATATTAAATGACACGCCTAATAATAATTATTAGTCCATTGGCCCCAAATATATTTTGAGTTACCAAGAAAACCAGAAAAATCCTACCTTAGTAATGCAATTAGACTGTATGCAAGCTTCCACATTATGTTTCAAATTGAATTTTTTTCTTACAGAAATTTAAAAATTGAATTAAACTTTTAAGTTTAATTTGGTAGCATGTAAAGCAGACCTGCAACACTTCATTTCTTTCCTCAATGCTATTTTTTAAATATTCAAGCACACAATCAGAAATACGGATTGTGGTTCATCCATACCGCTAGCAAAAAAATGAGAATTAATTTAAGGACAACTGAAGAAATGCAATTTAGCAGATTCTGAAATTCCTTCAAGATCCAAATACAAAACTACAAAGTGTGGTTCGCCTAAAAAAAAGATTTTGTTGTTTGCAAATGAGAGACAATGGATTTAAAGAAATCCAACGACGAATGAACATCTGAACACGAGTTGATACCAGAATATCAATAACACATTCTAATTAAAAGGTGAATTCATTGACTGATTAACATTAAACATCTAAGAGCTTCATTACATTCGATAGCACCCCCTAAGATTTCATGGATTAAGCCCTCTCCCCGCGGATCCTCCTTGCCAGCTGCATATCCTTGGGCATAATGGTGACCCTCTTGGCATGAATGGCACAAAGGTTGGTATCCTCGAAGAGTCCAACCAGGTATGCCTCGGCCGCCTCCTGGAGGGCCGACACGGCGCTGCTCTGGAACCTAAGATCCGTCTTAAAGTCCTGGGCGATTTCCCTCACGAGCCTCTGAAATGGAAGCTTCCGGATCAAAAGCTCCGTAGACTTCTGGTACTTCCGGATCTCCCTCAGCGCGACTGTGCCTGGGCGGAAGCGGTGAGGCTTCTTCACCCCTCCGGTCGCCGGAGCTGACTTCCTGGCGGCCTTAGTGGCGAGCTGCTTGCGGGGAGCCTTCCCTCCGGTGGACTTGCGAGCTGTCTGCTTGGTACGAGCCATTTGTAGCCTTACAAAAATCGATTCACACTCAGAGATTGAAGGCTTGCTTTGAAATGGTGGTGAGATTCTGAACGAAGTGCAGGCGGGTTCTTATAGAGCCTTTTGATTTGGGTTTTCAGTTGGCGACTGCGCCAACCGTTGATTAATTTCACCTTTGGCGGTTCAGATTGGATCAGGGCTCATGCTTCAGATTGCGATCCTCGGAATGACACGATAACGAATGAACTCTCACCACGTGGAAGTGGATTGGGCGCACAGCGCTGAGGTTCCGCGGGAATTTGAAAATTTTGCTCTTTTTCTCAAAAAATTTGCAACCGTGCGTTCAAGTTTGCTAAATGTCTCCTTTGGTTTGGTTTAGTTCTTCAATTTTTATGGTTTGATAAATGTCTGGTTGGTTTCAGTATATTTTATACATATTCAACTCTGGTTTGGTTTGGAATTGAAAACAATCAAAGTAAAAAACGTGATAAATGTTGACATTTGCTTTTGGTACGATATTTTAAGAGTGGAACTAAACAAGAGAACAAATGTCTATCAAATCAAATGTAAAAATTGGGTGGGTAGTGAAAGATAGTTAGAACATTTAATGTAAAAAGAGCTGTCAAAAGGAAAACATAAAAATTTAAATGGGACATCTCAAGCAGGAAAATATAAATATTTAAATGGGATGAAAGGAGTATTTATGAGTAAAAATCTATTGTTATATCATTTAGAGCCCGTTTGGTGACCCCTTTTTTCGGCTTATCGGACTTATCAGGCAGTTTTTTCGAGGGTGTTTGGAACTGATTCTGCTTCAGCTTCTTTTTTAAAGCAGAATCAGAATCAGTTTTCAGAAGCTGGTCTCCCTCCGCTTCTAAAAAACTGATTCTGGGAGTAAATTAGAAGACCAAAATCACTTCTGCACTTTCACCCAAACACTTCAACTTCTGTTTCTGCTCCCTAAGGGAGCAGAAGCAGTTTTAAGAATCAGATCCAAACACCCCCTTCATCAAACACCTGACTTTTGATTTCACGCGCTGAATGTTGTAATAAGCAAAAGAAAATACGGCTGTAGTTACTTTTCTGGTTGTATTGACTGAAGTTACTGTAAAGAATCATTTTAGCTATTTTGTTCATATACTCCATAATTTTTTATTTCATTTATTAATAACAAAGTAGCTTTCTACTTCCCTAGTTCCCTTAGTTAAAATAACGGCTGCTCATTCCGTCGAGTCACATTATTTAAATTACTTAACTACGGAGTAATAAAGTACTCCACCATTTTCACTTACGGAGTAGTTCATAATACTCACTCCTACCTATTTAAATCTTTACACTTTCCTTTCGAAACATTCCAAATAAATCTTTAAGTTTCTTTTTTGGTAACTTTTTTCACAATAAAGTATTCAAACTACCCTTGAGTACCTTGTTTCGTTCTTCGCATAAAACCTTCTGGATGCCATCATCTCCTTGTTGTGTCGCCATTTTTGTGCAATGGGGACCATCCATTTCGTTTGGAAGTGGTTGTCGAAAATCGCAAGCTCTACCCATAGTTCTACCACCGCCGTTCCATTGACCTCACATCACTTGTGACGAAACTCTGCATCTCTGCTCCTTCCCCCGTTGCAAATGTGTATATGTGTCACAGGAGATCCCAATTCGTCCTCAATCCTTGGCGGCGGCCATCGGGTGGTGCGCCCAATGAGGTTCTCATCCATGGAATCACACGGTCCCAAGGGGAGCCCATAAACACAATGGGTGCTTGAATTTGAGTAAGTGTATTCATGCTCCCGATTTACATATTGTCAAGAGTTGCTCCAAGTAATTGAACAATTTTGTAGTTGCTACTGTCTGCGAAGGAAGCCATTGGTGGACTTCAGGAAGAAAGAGATGAAAGTTGAATATGCCACGTAAATGGGGTAAGGGTAAGATGGGAAAGCTTTGGCTAATATTGTTCTCCTAAAACTTCGTGCCAAAAGCAAACATCAAGGTATATTCGGGACGCAGTGAGTAATACTGGGTATCATTTGCCAATAATAATAATAATATGGAGTACTCCGTATCATATTCAAGATACAGAGTAACTTTTTAGCAAATTTGATATTAGACAATTTTTAGGACACACCGAAAAGAAAATATGCGACAATTTTAGTTGGATGAAGAGAGCATCAACTTTTGATAGAAGTTCCCAACGGCGAAGGCTAGACAAGTATGGATTGGAGGGTGGGGCAAAAATTGAATATACATTACAATGAGAAAAAATTGAATTAACTAAACAAAATGTTAACCAGATATTTGTAAAAAGAAAAACCAGTCACCTTTTAGGATATTTCATTAACTATTTAACTAAACTCCTATGCATCTCGCATGTAATAGTTATTTTAAATAGCATTACTTTATGTTGGGCAAATGCTCGTAAGCAAACGCCAATTTTGTGATATGGCCAAAATGGAGGGACACTTGGCCGAAATGGAGCACACGAGATACAAGTTTTATATTGTGGGAACTCTCATATGTAAAACAAGCGTGAACAAGGTGATATAACTTTTGTGTAAAAAGCGTACTACAAGTTGGTGAGAAATAAAACATTGAATTCAATGTAAACCACGAAAAAAGAATTTAATATTCTATTACTTTAAGTAAATAGTGAAAAATCATTTTTTTAAATTTCAATAACAGTGGTTTATTTTATGATGTAACTCGTGTTATGTCAAATGTATCTCGTGATATAATGTGAAATGTAAATTGTGTGTATGTCAAATGTAACTTGTTGAGTCAAGTCCAAATGTAAATTGTGTATCAGAAGATATAAGTTGCATATAAAAAGATGTAATTCGCTTATAAAAATGTTACTCGCGCATAAGAAGATATAATCTGTGCATAAAAAGATGTAACTCACGTGTAAGAAGATGTAACTCGCGTATAAGAAGTTGTAATTCGCGCACAAGAAGATGTTACTCGCGCATAAGAAACTGTAGATGTATATACTATCAAATGTAACTCCACGAATCAAAATAAACAATCTCAGTTTCTAAAAAACTCTACAAACATATGTAAAAGATATAACAGATATATTACAAAACGTGTATGAATATACAAAATACTCCGTATTACATAAAAAATATTGTATGAATATGAAATGCAACACACTTATTTTCGTAGAGTACTAAAACTTTTGTCATAAATTGATAAAGAACAAAAAAATTAAAAGATTGAGTTGTAATTTAGATGGAAGGTAAAGAAAATTAAAAGTGCAATTACATATTTAATTATACTTTGATGGAGAAGTGCCCGACATTATATTTTGCCCATAAGAGGCGCCCGGCAGCGCAACAACAACGGCCAATCATGATTCCATCATCGCCTCACTGCTCCAGAAGGTCGATGACCTCCAATGGGAGGTGGCCGAAGGACAAGGGGAACCCGCCATCTCGATACAGACAACAAAATCCTTCACCTCAACGGTCATTTCCATCCTCATCCCAAATAAATGTATGTATTAGAAAGTCAAGCCTTATGAGCAGTGGCGGAGCCACCCTTTGAGGTGTGGTGTCAATTGACATCGCTGGATTTTTTTTTCTTCCCATACATAGGTATATAATTTTCATTTTCAAAATTTTAAATTATCACCACTAAAAAATAAAAATTCTATGTCTAATATAGATAATCTTTTATAAATTGACATCACTGACACTAGATTCTGGCTCCGCCCATGCTTATAACGACAATATAGACCCCCTCGGGAGCACTACAACTGTTATCAGAACAACATGGTAATGGTCAATGCTTGGGATGAATACCTTTTGTTGGTTTCTCTCCACACTCGAGGGACACCGTACGAGCGGCTTAACGAGTTGCCCCGAAGGGTGCATTGACTTTTCAAAATCACTTCAAAAAGTGTTTTTTTTTAAAATCAAAAGCATTTGCAAACACTCCCTTATGACCCGTTTGGTAGTTCACACATTAAAACTTTGCATGAAAAATGGCCGCGTGTAAAGTTTAGGTCGGTGAATGGTTTGCATGTAAAATAAAATTCCATCGTTTGGCTATCTACGTAATCTATTTTTTAATTACACGCAAACACTTTATAACGTTCATTTGGAAAAATACCTTTGCCCGTAAAATATTTATAAATGGACTACATAATTTAATCTCGTGCGTCAGTGCTTGTGAAAGCAATATTTTGTGGTCATGGCGCCGTTTTCTACTGGTTGGCCGGCATCTTGATCAGTGTTTTAAATAGCCGTAGCGGCAGCGATAATGGTCATCTCAGCAGCGGCCTGTAGCGGCCGCAGTGGCGTGAAATATTTTCAACTGCACAAAAACATATATTTAATGGGTGTTAAAGTTAATTGAAACATTATGAATATTTGGGTGTCAAATTTAGATATTTATTAATATTTGGTCCCATAATGTATGTGGAAAAACATGTACATTTAATTTAGAGTTTCACTCCATGCACCACCATTAATGTGTTTCACACCATGCACACAACATTTACACATCAACCAGTTCGTGATGCACTGCCGGAGGTGCCAATAGCGGCCTGTAGCGGCCGATAGCGGCCTGTAGCGGGCGGCGTAGCGGACTGTAGTGGTAACGTAACGGTTATGTAGCGAACTTTTCTGCGATTTGAAAATCACACCTTGATAGCGGCCATAGCGGTAGCTACCGCGACCATTATATAGCTAGTGATGGACTATGACCCGGCCTAGACCGCCATTGTGCGGGATCGGACCGGCCCGATTAACCGGAACCGAGACCGGGTCTAGGAATCGGCACGGCTGATCCGGGGCCGGTCCCGAAACATAGCCGGTTCCGGGCCTCCGTTTCCCCGACCCGGTACCGCCCTAAGCCCGATCGGGACCGGTCCATCCCTATATATAGCGGCTTTGATAGCCGTAGCGGCCGACTATTTAAAACACTGATCTTGATTGCAATATATGGGCGACAGTTAAGTATTGATAGAGAAGCAGAGGTTGGGGTCAGAAGCACGGGTTGGGAATAGGGATCTCTGTCGAGGGGATTTGATACCAAATAGAATTGGGTCTTGCTAGAGGTACTGAGGTACACGTTTTGTGTGCACGTTTGGTGTCACAGACAAGTTGTCTGTGACAGACAATTTGTCTGTGAAGGACAGACATGTGTACACTGTACACCAAACGTGTACACAAAACGTGTACCTAAAGCATTTTCCAATAGAATTAGGTAATCCATGTATAGGCGTATAGCGGAAGGTTGGAAGGTTTTTCTGTATATTATTGATACCATATGTCCATGTAGAATTGCGAAGATGGAGAAGACGTGAGTTTCTTGCATCCAAAATGTTTGCTTTGCCGCCTAGGTTGAAGTCGTAAACTCGGAAATTCAATGCTCCATATATTTATTCTGGGTCGTATAAACCAATGTAAAATAGTTTACCACCCTCCCCCGGTAAAAGATTTTACATGATATAGTGTAAAATGTTATTTAGAAAGGATCCTGCAATTTACATTAAATTGTTAAAACAAACGGTGTAAATGTTTACATCCTTACACTTTACACGCAAAATGTTTACTTCACGTCATAACAAACGGGCCCTTAATGTGTTCAAGATGATAAAATCCACCCTTTTATTTAAAAAGGTAAAAGTGTGAGATAACAAGATTAAAAATATGATAATATTTCAATGCTATCCTTGAACCGTTTCCCACCCCAGCTTAATTCCACAAGAATTAATTTACTTAACATCAGCGTCATGGATTCATGGAAGTCATATGCTTCTTTTAAACCAAAACTTTTATATAAATGAACATATAACTTCATGAGAAAATTGTTACACAAATATACATCAACTAACTGATCGAGGGGTATAAAAAATGCAGCATAAGTCTAAATACTTGAAGCCCCTTTAAATATTACATGTCATGGTTGGGCTGAGAATAAAAGGCAGAAGAAAGACAAAATGAAAGCATAGAAGCTCCCTCGTACCCAATCAGAAGCAACATCAACTCCAAGATCACTGACCAAAATGTGGGTGTGGGTGTAAAATGGAGCTAATGCACTTCTAGACTCTTCCACGAGTTTTAAATTTGTAGCTCACTGCACTTCTCCACTTTCTTTCTTCAAGAAGTTTTCTAATTCTTCAAGTGCCTGCCAACGACTAGGGCTAAGTTAGATGACCAATACCTTATTGTTTTCTACATAGTGTCTACGCCTGTCCATCCCACAGATATTTTTACTCATGTCATTTTGCAGAAATTATGTAAATGATATGATACTAGTTTTGTTAGAGGGAGAAGTTTAGGAAGAGCATATACGTGGAAGATTTATGTCATTGTTTGTCTCCCTCTTTCTCTATCTAATGTTTATTAACTCTGATAGCTTATGACAATTCAAGTTAGCTGACCCAAACTCTTTTGAGAATAAGATCTCGATGTTGTTGTGATTGTTCTTGTTAAGCATCATCTTCGATGTTTTTAAGATGACATCAGTGAGAAAAAATTATTTTGGGTCATTCAGTTTCGACCATTTTAGGAAATGAGAAAATAAAAATGGGACATCAGAAAATTGGAAAGTGGGTCAATATCGTTTGGGACAGATATTTCGAGTACTCCGTATAGCCTAAAATGCACTAGTAGGACCACTGTAGCTTGTGCCCCAAGGTTAGGTCTATGCTACACAGACTCAATTTGGGCTAACAATGTAAGCATAGGAAAAGCCACAAAAAGCAACTTTCTTTTCCTGCATTCTAAACCAAATTTTAATGTGTGTCTAATAAATGAAGAAATTACAACGTAATTGCATGTGCATGTGATGGGAGGTAGGGAGGGAGGGAGGGAGAGAGAGACCTCAATGGCAATTTCTGTAGGAGTGATGTTGCAAATATCCCCAGATCCCCTCTTTGCAGCAATATCTGAAAAGTTAATGTCACTAATATACTGGAGAAATAACAAAAGTGAACCAAAATTATGAATTAAAGTAAAAGATTAGAGGGAAAATATGAAAGAAAACAATTCCGCACTTTCTAGGCAAACTCTAGCTTTGGCGTTGGCATATGCATCTCCCCTCTCAGCCAGAAGCGTAGACAAACGTTTCAGAGTCTATGTGAGGGAAGGAAGAAGTATCAGAACAAAAAAACCATGTGTTCCTTCTTTGACAATAATTTATACAAAATTAGAAACTTAAAACCATTCCATGTAGACATATGTGCAATTTGACGATTTAAGTTTTATACGTTAGCATAAATGTCTCCAGATTCATTGTGTAACAAAGGCCGTGAACCAGTTCCCACTGATGAAATTCTCCTTGCCAATGCTTCCACATTAACATCCAACCACAAAGTGATGCCTTTGTGCATATATTTCCTGAGTGAAATTCAGGGAGGAAACACCAGCTAAATATTCGAGTCAAATAACTCAAAGAAAATGCTAAAATAAGAGGTTGTGTATTATACATGACTTAAGTACCAGTTAATGGGCCGAACAACTGCCCCCCCACCCGTTGAAACAACAATCTGGCGCATCAAAGAAAGCTTGCGCAAGACCTCTGTCTGAAATGCAGAGGTAGACGCCATAATTAATACTAGTAATTAATAATTTTATACAAGAAACAAATAATTAATATGCATTTTTCATTTTCAGCTCTAAGAACAAGTGTTTGTATATTGAATTCTCTAAGCTTCCACTGTAACATGTGGCTGCCATTTTGTAGGAGGGAGTGACACTGTCACAGCGGTGCATAACAATTTTGGTGGGGAAAAACTCAGAGAAATCAAACATGCAAAGCATTCAATGCTTCAACATATGAAAGAAGAATGGACAAAGGGAGATGTGAAAAGGTTTCCGTGTTACTTATACCTCATTATTTCGAAAGAAGCCTTCACCGTGTATCTTAAAGATTTCAGAAACCTTTGTTCCACCAATAGCTTGCTCGATAAGTGTATCACTGAAGTAGTATTCACAGAGAAAATATATTCCTTGTTCATTAGATGTTAACAGAATATGGAAGCTCACAACTTGCTTAACACAGTAACATCCAATTTAGTTCTTGTAGTGCACTTTTCTAGAGGAAGCGGTCCAGCCCAGCTGGTCGCCAACTCACTCTCCCTTACGGGAGGCCTCGGGTTCAAAACTCAATGGAGTGAGTTTCAGCCCTAATTACTCCAGGCCCCCAGAAGGCCCACAGACGTCCCCTGGAGTGATAAAAAAATGTAGTGCACTTTTCTTTAGCTTATACTAGTATTCCACCTGTGTGATACACTGTATAAATCTTATTTAACTATTTATATTGGGTGTGTGCTTTAAAACTTGGAAAAAAATAAAAAAAGTAATTATAGGAAGTTAAAGAAATTGTAGCATATGTGAATTACTATGTATTATTAAATATAAGGTAAATGATGTACATACTTATTACTTGCATGGCATACATAGTAAAACATCTATAACGTAACACAGACATGTGATATGTAAACTTAATACTATGTAATTTTTTTGAGGTTTTGAAGCATTTGTGATATATAAACTTAAAAATTAACTAGATTAAAGTGTGCTTTCTAGACATTTACCAGTCAAAAAATGTATAGTTCAGTGCCTCTGCTATGATTCTGCCCACAGTTGTTTTGCCAGAGCCCATCATTCCTGAGAAGTTATATGCATAACAGAAAATTTAAATCGAAATATAGACAGTACATGCCCATTTGGTCAGGGCCATTTGGCTAAAATGGAAGATTCTGCTTATATTAACTGAACGTAAAAGCATTTGGTAAAACCAATTTCAGCCAAATAGTCAAGTCAAGTGCTCTACTTATTCTGCTTTGTTCTGTTGATAAGCAGAATAAGCCTACCAAACAGGGCACAATAGCTATACTACAAAATATTGGCAATGGAGCTCACCGACAAGATATATACATCTACCACTCAAATATGGTAAAATCTCCCCTGATTTTCTCTGTCACAGAAATAACTCATCGTCTCAGCAAGATAAATGGGTAAATCTATATAAAGAATTGCAACGCATGAGCCCTTAATTTGCAACAAATATCCATAGAAATCAAAATGGCTCACTCAAATTGCAGACAAGATGTACCTTCAAAACCTGAGCTTCATCTAGAGATGGAAGAGGGCTCTCAGATTGCAGCACTGAAGCTGCAAAGAGAAATTAAAATATAAATAAAAATTCAATAAGATCGTGCTAGCACCTCTTTTTAAACTTTCCTAATGACCTTGATGCTGTGATGTAGTTATAGCTTGAAGAAATTGCCATTGTCAGGACTACCTTGAGTATTCTGAGAAGAGCATGAAGCTGTCAGCAAAGCTAGTCTGTGTCGGTTTGTAGCTTTTATGGGTTGAAAATGACAGGAAAGGGATTTAGGAATACTCTCATGCTCAGAATGCCTCTTTGGGAAATTCATTGAACCAATTGATCTTGGCAGCCTATTTGCAGTATTAATACATGAGGGGAATTGTAAACTCCGTGAATTGGCTGCCTCCATAAGTATAACTCTACACCTCTAAATTGACGTGGAATCTTAATGTGTCACTTAATGATCGCTGCAAGAAACACAAAATCCCATCAAGAAATCACCAGAGCCTTTTAAAAAGTCTAGAAGCCCTGTTCTACATACCAAAATGAGGCCCCACGCATGAATAAAAATAAAACTGAAATCCTGAAGTTCAGAAATTCTTTAATCACATACGTAATCTAACTATCTAAGTGATCAACTATAGATTTATATATGAAATTCTGAAATTAATATTAGAGGCCGTTTGGCAACCCTGTTTTTCGGCTTATCAGCCAACTTTTTAACCAAACACGTACCTTTTGGTTTCGTGCGATGAATTGTGTAATCAGAAAAAGTAAGGTTGGAGTTAGTTTTCTGGCTGTATTGGCTGAAGTCACTGTAGATGACCATTTTAGCTATTTTTGCATATAATTTTTTCTTTATTTTATTAATAAAATATATTTTAAAAATATTTTTTTCTTAAATCAGCAGAAACAACCAATGAAGCCATTTCAGCCAGAACTTCATAAATTTCAGCAGAATCAGCCAAAACAGCCGATTTTCGTGCTACCAAACGGGATCTAAATCCATTAAATTAGATTTTTACATTTTTCAGATTAAAAGAGTCACAGTCCACAGCCAAACAGAATAACAGACACTAGAGAGCACACACCTGAAAACTGCTACAGCCTAGAGGCTAGAGCAGTAGAGCCGAGAGCAGGACAGCAGGCGATTGGCGGAGACTGGAGAGCCGGAGACGGGAGACTCGTCGACTTGGAAGCAGGAAAATCCGATAGTCGGATTCTCAGAACTTGGAAGAGTGGAGAGGCAGAGAAGTCAGGGGGCGACTAGCAAGTGAGGCAAGAGCAGAGGATGAGAAATTGATAGGAAAAGTTTAAAGGAAAAGTTACACTAACTTGCTACTTTTAAAAAAATAAATTGCAATATAATAAATAAAACAGCTCATCAAATAATTCACCAAGCTCACATAATAATAGCAAATAGTCTAAAACCATCTATTAAAAATCAGCCACTTCTTGCTTTCTTTTGGTTGAACTAGCATGCATGCGTGGTAGTGAACTTACATGTTAACTGCTGAACTCAAAATATTCAAATAAGTGTGACACCTTTATAACGTCTTCCGGAAACTTGTTCTCTTATATCTCTTAAAGTCTTAATTAAATGCAATTATGAAATAAGAATGTGCTAAGTACAAAAACTGGTCATACTCCTAAAGATTTAATTGTCTACTGCATATACTAAAACTTAGAACGTAAATTTCCTTGGTGCTATGAACAACTTAAAAAATTGAAACTGAATTGGCTTAACAAACTAAAATCGCAGCGAGTTTTGGCCTTTGATACGACGCATCAAGTGTACAAACTTTAGGTATAAAACAATGAAATTCTTTTCATAACAGCTCAAATCTAATTTGGTATTTGCAGAGCGTTAAAACTTCAAAACAAATTTAAATACTTTTCAATTGAGTAATTCGGTAAAACTTTAGCATTCAGATTTAAATTAATTCTTTCAAACAAACGTTTCATTTACAACTAGATATGCTATATACATAAATACACACAAATATTCCTGTCCGGCCAGGCCGAACAGGAGGGTTCCAGCCACCTCAATTGAGGTGTTTCCTTGTGTTATTTTTTGGTGATATTTTTTGTGTATATTTTTTGCGTATGTTCTTCAAGTCTAGCTCATCCATATTAAATTTGATCCATATCAAATTTGAACAAAAATTTAATCCGGAGACAGTCAAATGATTTCTGAAAGATAAATGTGGTTTATATGTAATTAGTGCAATTAGTGCATGTTTTAACAGAAATTCATGCTTTTCAACAACCCTAAGAACAAATATAAGTAGAGAGAATGGAACTTGTCTTACCAGGTTTGAGATTCGATTCAGAACTAAGAAAACTTTTGATGGCAAATTGAAAATGATGAAAACTTTTTCCAAAGAGAAGGGGCGGCTGCTGATGGGAGGATAGAAGTGCAGGTCCAATTCTCAGTTTTTTATCAGTCTGGAATTTTCTAAGGGGTTTCAGTCTGGAAATCACCTTCGCTGCAAGAAATATCTGTCTATATTTTTCTCATTTTCGCACACTTAGAAGAAATATAAGGTCTCATTCACCTACCTCAGCAATCCACCTACCGGGCAGAGACCGTTCCTGATCGGACTGGAACTGAAATAGCCAGACCGGAAACAGATGGATTATTTCCGGTCAGAGTTCACACAGGACCGGAATATTCCGTTTTAATAGGTCTCCACTGAACCGGAAATTTATTTGTAATTTTGTATGAAAAGAGTTATTTCCGTGCTATATGCTTCGACGTTCGAACTAATTTAAAAAGTGCAAATTATCTCTTATATAGGGGTTCTGTCCGGCCTTCACCATTTGAAGCAGTTCCGGTGGAATTTTTGATGAAATTCTTCTAGCATCTTCTTCATTAAGTCTAGTTTTCTCAATTGGGAAGACAGTCAAATGAATTTTTGAAGATAACTGCACAGTTAAATAGCGCAGTACATTTCAGAAAATCATTTGACTGTCTTCCCGGTTGAATTTTTATTTCAAATTTGATATGGATAACTAGACTTAATGAAGAAGATGCTCAAAAAATTTCACCAAAAAATTGCAGCGGGAACCGCCCCAAATGGCGACAACCGGACAAAGGCTCCTATATAAGGGGTGATTTGCACCATTTGAGTTAGTTCGAGAGCCTATTTGACCATTTAGTCCATAGCCATATAGCACCAAAATGACTCAGCACTATACATACAAAATTACAAATAAATTTACGGTTCAGTTGGAGACCTATTAAAACGGAATATTCCGGTCCTGTGTGAACTCTGACAGGAAATTATTTAAAAAGTTAAGGATATTTAAATTATTTTCTCCAAAAATTAACAATGAAATTAATAAAAGTAATAAATTAATCAAAATCTATTATGAACCCGCATGATAACACTAAAATTGGCTGATTCTATTAAAATTTATGAATTCTGGTTGAAGTAGCTGGATTGACTGATTGTGCTGAGTTATGAAAAACTAATATTTAAAATGTACGTAGTGTTTTATTAATAAAATAAAGAACAATTACATGAAAACTAAAATGGTCCCCTATAGTAACTTCAGTCAATTATTTACAAAAGTTACTACAACATTACTTTTTCTTATGATTACACAATTCAGCGTCCGAAATCAAACGTTACATGTTTGGTGAAAAAAATTGACTAATAAGTCTGATTGTCTGAAAAACAGGGTCACCAAACACGGTCAGCCCCAGACAAAACGTCTCACAGCCGCACCTCAGTTTGATTTAATTATATACGAGTACAATTAGATATAGTCAAAATAGGATACAATATATTTTTTATATTTCCACTAGACATAGTTTTTAGGCCTTGGATAAGCTGGAAAACGGGACCCCAATCGGACTTTGAAAGATAGTTGCACCATCAATAAGCGATTTGAAAGGTAAAGTACGGAGTATGTTGATATATGGCTGAATGATGGAAAAATCGACCATAGACTTAAAATATAGAGCCCGTTCGGTGACCCTGTTTTTCGACTTATCAGCCAATTTTTTCATCAAGCACATAACTTTTGATTTCGTACGTTGAATTGTGTAATAATAAGAAAATGTAAGGTTGAAGTAAATTTTTTGGCGAAAACTATTGTAGATGATCATTTTAGCCGTTTTTTCATACAGTTTTTTTAATTTTACTAATAAAATATATTTTAAATTAATTTTTTTCATAAATCAACAAAAATATGTCAATACAAACATTTCGGCCAGATTTCATAAATGTCAGCCGATATGACCAATTTGAGAGATAAATGTTTGTGGGCACAATCACATTGGAACGTATGTTCGATTTGCTTTTCTTTTTTATCAGATGCCATGGCAGCAATTTGAGTTCGACGAGGTATATATTTCAGTTCTATCACGTTGTTGCTATGAATAGATTTCTTACTAACGCAGCAACGGTCCTTAGTTTTTTTTACATGCTTCGACGAAGGTCTCGTTTGTTAGTTTGCATGTTAAATCTTTACATGTGAAGTGATTGATTTCTTACTAATGGTCCTTCGTTTTTTTTAATCAAAAACTGATAGTGATGAAGAAAGTGCAAGTAAATACATGCTTCGACGAAATGATGATAGCTCACTCTTAGGGCTCGTTTGGTAGTTTGCATGTTAAATCTTTGCATGCGAAGTGATTGCATGCAAAGTACGTGTAAAACATGCACTTATTGTTTGAGTGCATGCATTTTACATGTGTTATTTACTTTTAAATTGGACGCCAAACATTTTTTGGAGAAGTCACGTTGTTAAAGTCACAAGCTGCGACGGATGTTGGTGAAGTCAACGTCGGTGGTTAGTGAAGATGTGGTAATGATCTGATTGGTGAAGACGAGCGGCGGCGGCGGCTCCGTTGCCGATCAGTGTGGTTGCTTCCGGCATTCCTTTGTTCTTGAGAAGAAAACAATTGACCAATTCACTTGATCTCGGTGGGTGGAAGAAGAAGGCAAAGATGGATAAAGAATCTTCCTCATCTGATTCAATTTCTAATCCCCAGATCGGTATCTTAATTCTCCTTCTTGGCCTTCTCAAATGGGTGAATGACAAGGGTAATTAAAAAAGTGCCATATGAAATATTTGGAACACAGAAAAAAGGAACTCCACCAGAATTGCAACGCAATACATTATCGGAAAAATTAATGGGTGACCGCCTCAATAACCTATTTGGGTGATTTTAATGAGTTTGAAGATTTAGTTGGACGTTTTTAAAGTACGAAAACTACTCCGGGGACATATTTAACATTTTTTCTAAATTGAATTTTTTGATATGAATAGAAGCTTGTTTTTATGATCAAAAACAGTTTTCCTAAACTTTAATAATTAAGGTTTGATATAACATTACGTAAAATCGAGTCAATCACCAACAGAAGTTGTGGACCAATTGCAATCAAGTCATACTGGTAACAGAATTTGAAAGATATTACATCCAAATTTAAACGTTATCAAACACTTCTTTATACGCAACGTTGTCAATTGCATTATCAAGGACAACCCCTGCCAAACGATTTTCACAGATTTTGGGTTAGGTTTAAAAGGGGGAAATAATTTAAATATCTCAAACTTTGAAGGGGTGTGACATAAGTACCCCAAACTTGCACATGTAATATACATATCCCAAACTTTATATAAAAAGTTATGTTATCACCATGACCATACATTTTCTCATAAATGTAAGTTTATGGTGTTTAGTACATAATTTTAAATACCCAAAACGTATATGATGATGCAATTAAAATTAAATTGCAGCTAATATAATATTATCTAATTCACTGATGAAATTTTAGAATGTTAATTGCAATAAATTATATTATTATTTCAATAAATTTGTATTTGTAAACACGATATAATCATGGTGTGAAAATAGCTTTTTATGTAAAGTTCGGGGTATATATATTAGGGAAAAGTACAGAAAACGTACCTGTGGTTTGAGTCATTTTCAGATAGGGGCATGTGTTTCATTTTCTAACAAAGTGGGGCATGTGTTTCAATTCCGTTATCATAGCAGGGGCATGGCGCCGTTAGAAAAATTAACTCCGATTTTAAAAAGTCTACGAAAAATTAAAAGAAAAATACTTGGAGGTGCGCCTCGTCAAGGAGATCAACAAACTATCTTTCTCTTTGGATTTTTCGGCTCTATTTGGATTATGTTTTAAAAACAAATTCGCTAATATCAATTTTCTGGTGGACTTTCTGGAGATATGGTGGCTAGAAAAAAAAAAATAAAGATAGTTTGTTGATCTCCTTGACGAGGAGCACCTCCCAGTATTTTTCTTTTAATTTTCGGAGACTTTTTAAAACCGGGATTAAGTTTTCTAACGGCGGTAGATGTCATGCCCTTGCTATGGTAACGGAATTGAAACACATGCCTCATTTTGTTAGAAAATGAAACACATGCCCCTATCTGAAAATGGCCCAAACTACAAGTACATTTTATGTACTTTTCCCTATATATTACATATGCATGTTTAAGGTACACACCTCACACGGTAAATTACATGGTACAGCCGGTTGTACCGTGCGCACGGTACATCCGGCCTTTTATTTCGCAAATCGCAGGGCTTCCATCGCCAATAACAGGCTTCCATCGCAGTTCGCAGAGCTTCCATCGCAGTTCGCAGGCTTCCATCGTAGTTCGCAGATCGTTAATTACTCATCCTTCGCTCGCCGCTCACGAGCGCAGCACCTCAAACTCTAGCTTGAGCGGCGGCTCGTGTGGCGGCTCCTCCCGGTGTATAGCCCCAGTTGATTCTTCTCCTTCTTTCTTGCTCTGGACTCTTCCTTTTCTCTTTTTCTTACCCAAATTTCGTGAGGGAGTTCAGACATTTATAATATGAGCATAACAAATGAAATTATGAGCATAGTAGACATTTCAAATGAGTTTTTTGAATACTCATTTCGTAATTAATGTATACTCATTTGATATTAGTGCAATACTCATTTTAAAATGTCATATTCATGCATACTTCAAAATGAGTTTTATGTTAAACTCAAATGATTATAACGCCCAAAATGAATGAGCACACACAAATGAGTTTTTTAATATTTTGATACTCATTTTGTAAGTTGTGTATGCTCATTTGGTACTGTTTTATGCTCATTTTAAAATGTTGCACATGTTAAACATATCATAATTCATTAGATTCACATATTGAAATTAAATGAAATTTTATAGACATAATTTAAGACTTTAATAAACGAAAAAATAATAAACGGAATGTGATATATGAGGAATGAAACATATATCACTAATGCTCATTGTTAGACTCCTACTACTTAAAAGAATAGGCTCGATGCTCATCAAAATTGATTCAATGCTCATTTAAGAGGATTCATGATTTTCATCAAAATTACAAGTTTGCCACCGTACAGCCGGTTGTAACTTATACGCTTCTCATCCCACACCTCATTAAAGTTTGAGCTATTTAAATTATTTTTGCTATGCCCGCACACAGGCATTGTAGCGAGCATCGGCAGTTCCGTGGAGAATCCATCGACGATATGGAATCCATTTCCTATGCCCAAAATATTTCTGACAATCACCGCCTCCTCCTATTAGTTGCGTGTGTGCGCCCTAGCTGGAGATGACCTCGACATCAGCCCCTTGGGCCACCCCTTATTTGCTTTTCGACGTGCAATTCCCTTCCTTTCCATAATTTTTTGTAATCTCCATGCTTTGATCGAAATGTTTCTTTTACATTGGTCCTTTAATTCCAAGT